TAAAAATTTTTATAAGTATTTCTTACTGTATTAGTAGCATTAAAATATTGTTTAAGAAATATTAGATTATTAATGTAGGAAACTCCAGATACACTAAGTAGCCATTTAGAGCTTATAAGTACTGAGCTCTTAAATTAGTTACCATAATTTGCTTGTCTGGAGGTAAAGAGCGAATTTGATCGACTGGTAACGATAAAACTTGGGCAATTAAGTCTGCTTGATCCGGCGCCATAGAAGACAACTTTGCAACAGCCTGTGGAGGCAAATGTGGCCACCTAGATGTTTGCGGTGTAGGAGGAAGCAGTGGCTGTTGCTGGAGTTGGCCGTAAGGATTTGACATGTGTTGAACATTAGGTATTTGCGATAATGATGGTTGTTGTGGAATTTGAGGCATGTGCATCTGATTTTGCATTTGGTTTTGCATTTGGTTTTGCATTGACGATTGCATTGGCGTTTGCATTGGCTGTTGCTGAGAAGCCGGAGTGTTTGAAGTAGATTTCATAGATTCGGATATGACATCCGCATCAATAAAGCCCATGAGTAATAGGGCTTGCGCTGCAGCAGTAGCTAACTGTGGTGATAATTGAAAAACATCTACTGCTCTATTGGCATTAGGACCGCTCAAAATACTCTTGAGATTTGAAATCAATTCGATAAGTTGTGCAGGAGGAATTTGACTTAATGTCTCATTAATTTTGTCTGGAATGGCAAATGGTAAATTAGAGGGCTGTGGTAACCCTTGTGATGTCGATAAATAGTTCGACGGCATCTGTGAGCCGTTATTGTTGAACTGATTGTTTTGCAGTTGTGGTGGAGCTAATTGTGGTTGAAATTGATTCATTGGTGGGGTGAATGTCGATGTAGGAGTTAAATTCCCATTATTAGCAGGAACTGGCGGACCATTATATAACATCTCTGGAGGTAACTGGACAGTATTTGGCAAATACTTCCTATCTAACGTTAATATTGGTTTATAATCCGAAGGTCCATTTGACCTCAATCCTTCTTTCGACAACTCGATTCTTAATTTTTTGTATTGACCCTTTTGATTTGGCTGGCTATTTAAAAGCTTTATTTGACTTAATAATTGTAATCCCTTTTGAGTATCTTGAGGTGTTTGGTATTCGACAAAACAAAATCCCTTATTCTTACCGGCGTAGTCAAATCCTAGTCTAACGTCTACGACATTTCCGGATCCACAAACCACCGATTTAATTATATTTTCGTCCCACTCATATGGCAATTGTCCCACGTAGAGCACTGTAGAAGCCGTTAATGGCGTACTAGTCTTTCTCACCATTATCAATAAGAAAAAATTTCAATGTGTATGTAACTGTAACCGATAATTTTGAGAATAATGGCGGTAATTTCGTAAATGCATTTAAATGGAGGTTTGACGAGAATCAAATGGTACGGTTATTACAGAAAAATTCCCGAGAGAGTTGAAAAAAATTAAATT